AACACAGGTAGCAACAAAAGTTCAAAGAGAAGTCGAATCAGCTTCAAACTCGGCTGCTTAAAAATCGCATCACAGACAGGTCATAAATAAGTAAAAATATCTTAAAAAAAAATTAATTAACATTTAAAACTATATATTGGGAATTTACATAATATAAGCAATGAGATTCATCACGAGACTCAACAATATCAATTAACTTATAACAACAAAGCCATCACCAAATAAGGTAAATTATTTTCATAACAGAATAAGGCTTGAGGTAACATGTGATAGCCAGATAACAAAAACAACAACAACAACAGCAACAACAACAACAACAACATTAGGATGGCAGTATCTACAGTGCTTAATATATGTAACTGTATATTTTTATAACCAACAATAAGTTCAAGCCTACTAAATCCATCAATATTTCCTTTAGTTCAGGAGAGATACCAACCATGTTATTTCATTGTCCTGTAATAAGCCCGCCCCTTGAAATTGAATGGGAAAAACAGTAATGCGTTGTTGGCTCTATGGGTTTATTAAAGGATTTATATGGTAACCTGTACAAACAGCTAATTAATTCTGTCAGTAAACAACATTCTAATCCAGCTTATTCATGCACATAATATATCATTTAGATAATACATGTACAATGTATATTTTTTTAAAAAGAGGGAATATGGAAAATTGATTACACAGATATATATTGATCAAATTGTTCAAAATGTCACAAAATATGAAAAGAATGTATTAGAATATTATACACACTTAAAAGGTACGATTAAATGATAATTGATAAACTTCAGAACGATATCATAAACCATTAAGACAGATGACGCCTAATGTAAAAACAGTCATAATGGTGAATGATGTTATAGAAATATCTTAAAAAGATGTAAATGGTTCTTTAGATTATCTACGGTATTCCACTACAGAACACAGATCTAAAATTAGAATTTTAAGGCATTGTACGATGAATCTATGAGATTATGAAAAATTTTTGAAAAGTATAAGACATGATCTGGGTACCAATATGGCCCCTTAAAGATACTGTATTAGTCCTAACAAAGGATACCTAAGTGTGATTGCTTCATCTTCGAATATATGGGATATATTTCTGAAACAGTCTCTAAAGATATTTTCCTAAAATACTTCAAGAACAGATGCTTATTTCTGCTAATTTCTATGAAAATAATTTTTTACACTATCGAATAAATATTTTTATTGTCCATTTCTTTTACCTCATCACCCCATAATGTAAATGTTGACATTATTTTGAAATGTCACAGTTAATTTGCCAATGTTGCAGCGTAAGAAATCGTTCATTAATAAAAAATATTAAAAAAAATAATGCAAACTGTGATTAAATAAGACTGATTTTTTAAAAATGTTTTTGATCCATAGCACAAACATGAGGCCCAGGTGCCTCATCGGTCAACTAAGTGAACTCACAAACAGAATCCATTGAAATGAATGTGTAGCCTGGAGAAGAGAAAGTGAGAAATACTATTTGTATAGAGAGTTTTACTGTAGTTATTATTGTATACATCATGTAATATGACACAATGGTGACCAACTTAAATTATTGTAAAGTTTACCCCTCCCCAAGGGGAAATGAGAACCCCCGGGGTCATAAAATTTACAATTTTGGTAAAGCAACTTAAGACTTAAGACTCTTCCATCCATGGTAAATGACCCTACCATACACAGGTATTTGGTACAGAGAAGAGGATTTTAAAAGTTTAGTTAATTTGACCCTTTTTGGCCTGCCCCTCTTGCTGTAGGGATTTTATAACTTTGTTTGCCGTTGGCCATGGAGTTTTCTGTAAAATCTTGAAATGTTGAAATTGGTATGGGAATTTTCCATGTAAAAAGTTTAAGGACACACAGCAGATGTCAGATGAGACCAGAAAAAAACAGGATTACAGTAGGTGGGTTTTTATCTCAGGTGACCTAAAAACAGAGAGTATACATTTCTTCAAGGTTCATTTAGAATATGCGTCGTTTTCTGTGCTATGGCTCAACAACATGAAAATTGATAAAAATCAATATTAAAATAACAAAATCAAGTGTACTTTATTTTTTGAGACACGTTTTAGATTAATTACAAGATCAAAGTACTGATTTATAACAGTCTGTGGCCACACAGTCATATCTCTCTTCGAGATATACAGTAATATTTGAGCTGGAGTGCAAACATAACATGACTATATGAAGCTATAAACAAACATGTCAGCGTCCACTTTTAAGCAAAATTTACAGATTATTTACAATATTTATGGAAAATCTTGACAAAAACGTATTAATGTCTGCATATACCAAGTTCAGCTACAAGGATTAAAGAAAAATGATACTTTTTTCTAATGTAATTATCTCCCCTTGAAAGTTTTACTTACAGATATTGGAAATTTAAGATTAGTAATACATAAATACATACATCATGTACATCTGACTACAGAAACTTTACTGACATGAAGACAAGAAATTTTGATTGCATACTATGGATGATCTTGGTATAACTATGTGAGTGGTTGATAATTTCAATTATTCTACATACCTGTATTCACACACAACATAACTTTCAACCTGTTACATCAGAAAATGAATTATGAATATATAAAATGCCTGGAGATAACATACAAAAATTTCACTGAAGACATCCCAAAACTATTGGACTAATTCTTGGATATTTAATGTTTTTAACGTTGACAGAAACAATCCATTTAAGCACCTCTGACTAGTCAATGCAATATCATTTTTTGAAAATGTCAGGAATTATGAGAAATTTTTAAAAATATCATTAGAAGATGACTGCTTAATTGAGTTCCACATAAATCAGCACAGCATTAGGCCATAAATGTGAATATGAAGATACAGATTTTCAATTTGTTTATCATCTATAGCAAAGGTTCATATCAGGATAAATAAATAAAGATGTATTTCAAAGGAACAGATTAAGTTAAAAATGTTTAAATATGGTCACCATGTGCATTGGTTTCTACTGTAATATCTTCAGAAAACTTATTTCACAGCATAATTATCCACAGATATATACAGCTTTGTTCATGTAAGCAGTTATCTGTTATAGAGTTACAATCTGTAAAATTTGTTGGAATTATCAAAAAGATAGTTCAGACATATTTATCATAAATCTAAGTAGCTCACTCATCTCTTATGTGCATTCAATGTGTTCTATTCACATAAAATATGTTAGGTCTCAAAGTCACAATAAGGTAGCATACACCCTTAACTGTATCTGGTACCTATGGTATGGTATTAAGCCACCATAAGGTAGCATACACCTTAACTGTATCTGGTACCTATGGTATGGTATTAAGCCACCATAATGTAGTATATATCCTTAAATCTCAAAGCTACAGTAAAAGATACACATCCTTCAGCATTATATTTGTCACAATGGTAAAACCTTGATCAAATAAGCAGTCCAGATGTAAATAACTTTGAGGTACAACTGTCATACAAGTGTCGTCACAGAAAAAAAATTAATTAACGATTATGTTTTTATTTTTCTGTTAAGAAAAAATCAGATACTGCTAAAGTTTGAAAAGATAATTGACTGACTTGTTGTTAACATACAGAAAATACCTGGTATTTAAATAGATATTACAGAAAAATCTTTTTTCATTTTGTTCTGTATAGGCTTGCAAATTTAAGATAATCTCATCTCAAAGTGATGCTTCTTGTGATGGTTAAGTTCTCTGGGTACTACACTGTAGTATCAATTGATATGAAACAATATTGGCAAATGAAATTACGGGAAAAAAAATCACAAAATCAAAAAATGACCGAGTTTACCCTGTCTTCAATAAATCAATAAACTTTGTACATACTTTCCAATATGTTCGATTTAATTGTCGGCAAAATCCATTAATGATAAATATTGTACCCAGAGACATAACTTATTACATGTACTGATAAAACTGTACAGTATGATTATTGTATCTCATATAAAACTGAGTAAACAATTTTCAAACAAACAACAACAACAACTTAAAGAAATATCAATTCAATATAAACAAATGGAATGTTCAAAGAAAAAGTCATAAAATATGGCACTTATTTATCTTTAAATTTGTGACTGACTTACATACACACAAAATAAATAATTAAAAAAAATTAAATATTGCATTATAGATAAGTAAACAAAATTTGATTTTTTAAAACATGTCAAAACATAATGATAAAATTATTTGTGACATTTCTTTGTTTTTAAGTAAGGTGTAGAAATGCAACCATAATATAATACAGGGGAGATAATCTGGGCGATCTTGTGAACATATTGGATCAGGGGAGATAAATCTAATTGTTTTTTTTACTTACTAAAATTCTGATGATTGGTTATAATTATAATATCACATCAAAAAGGAGCATGTCACCACTTACTTATCATCCATATACATATAAAAAAATGTCTACTAGCAAATATTGTAAATTCTTTCTATATATACATACAATAACACTGTACAATTGAGAGACTGTCTATGCATCTATATCTATATACAAACAAACAGCTATACAAGAAATGAAATATTGCACATCAATCATTTTCTGTCTCCAGAATAAAAATCTGGAACTTATTATGTAACAACCTTAATCTATCTATATATATAATTTGTATCTATTATTAAAATTTGTAATAATTACTGACCTTGACCTTACAAGATGACCTTGACATCAGCGATGTATTGGAAGTAACACACAGCCATGTAAACATGGACTTGTACATTACTGTTGGCAACAAGAATTAGAATGGTAATTATCTGTAATCTATACCATCTATGTAAACTAGGTCAGTTGGATATATATATATAGACAGCTAAATATTAAGATGTTGATGGTGGAAGAGAGTGCCATATCTATCTAACAACGAGCCCATGCCAGGTAAGGAACCCACCCACACAAGTTTCAGTGGCATAGTCCTTCTTACTTTCAAACACAGATTGTGTGTTGGCCATGCAGGCTTATTGCAGGATAGTTACAGTCTTTATCTCCAGTTCTGTATAAGTTCTGTGTAGTGATCTTCTACATGTCCCCAAATATTCCAGCAAATGTTCTACGGAGGTTTTTCATGGTGTCTTCATCTTCGGTACTTCTCTGGCTGGGAGGACCACGATTCCCAGGAGAGACCCTGCAACGGAAGTGGAAACTCAAATTTCCATGTCTTTCTGGTGCTCTCCATCCTCTTCAGTGTTAAAAACAATGGGTATGTTACAGGTACCCTAACCTAGTGAGTTTAAACACTTTTCTTCTATCTAACCAATATAAATCCAGAATGTGATATACTTACAACCTCCTTTGAAGTGTGACCTTTGACCTCACATTGTGACCTTGAACTCTGAAATCCACTATTTACATTTGAAATGTAGTACTACAATCAACTTTAGTAGCTGTAATTTTTTTGCTATGACCTTGACTTTTAACCTTGGATTCCAGGTTCTAAAGATGACCTTCCTCAGTATAAAACCGTCTTACATTTCTTAGAATATCTTTCTGGTCTATGAAATACAATTCTGGTATGACCCATGTAGTATGGACCTGTTTAACAAATTCTACTGTTGGAGTATATGCATTGAAATTATTTGCAAGCTGTTCCATAACAAGTTGGATGTGAAGGTGATAGCATATTTGTGGCAGAGCATGTTACAGTAGGCATGTCATTTTTGTTCGTTTTTGTCTTTAAGATTAAAAACTTAAAAATTGATTGACATGTTGACACAATATCTGGTCAAAAAGATGCAGAACAACTGATCAAACACAAAACCATGTTCCTGTCCAGTCAAAAGAAACAAGAAAGTAAACAAAATACAGATAATGTCACTTGTCTGGTCAAAAGAAGATAAACAAATTAAACAAAATACTTCAGACATGTCTGTAATGTTACAATTGTTTTAACTACTCACCAGTATAACTGAAAGAAAATGTAAACGTAAGGACAGACAGATGGTCAAACACTGGACAAACTTAGATGTGACCAGTACAGCCTTGCCTTTTATCAAGGACAGACAGACGGTCAAACACTGGACAAACTTAGTTGTGACTAGTACAGCCTTGCCTTTTATCAAGGACAGACAGACAGTCAAACACTGGACAAACTTAGTTGTGACCAGTGCAGTCTTGCCTTTTATCAAAGGCAAAGTGGCAGATAAACTGAACTTTGTGCTGTTTGTGCATGTTTAATAAATGCATTTGCCTATCAGGAAGGAGCGGGCCAGTTTGGAGAGACAGCCAAAGTGCCTGATTTGAATCCAACATGCTGACAGCAAGCCTACCTACCACTGGCAAGCTGCAAATCAGTACATCAGAATTGGGTGTGCCCACTGGGACAATCAATGATTCTGCATGATGATAGGTATGTAACTTACAAGCAGTAAATATGAATGACTAAACACAAATACAATGATTAAACTAACAGAATATAGTATTATACAGGTTATATTCATGTAAAAAGGTAAAAAAAGAAATCTCAATATTTTCTACTTCATTCTACGCTTTTCAATATCCAAGAATATTCATGCATTTTTCTCCGAATCAAAAACACCCTACATTGGTTTTCCTTTGACTAAAAGAGAAAGTTTGTGCCAGTACCCATCAGACTGTGGTTTGTTGACCTGGGCATGATCAGAACTTGTCAGCTGGTTTGGGTTCATCTGTTGGTTCTGATTGCCAACATTCTGTCGCTGAGGAGACCTGGCCCCAGGTTGTTGCGGATGCTGGGGATGTTGAGGATGCTGTTGCTGGGATTGTGAGTGGGGGGAATGTTGCTGCTGAGAGAGGGGCTGGCCCCCCTGGGGCCGGGACTGTGGCTGCCCTTGTGGCTGTGGTGGGCGAGATGGAGGCTGGGTTGGGGCTGGTAAATCCTGCTTACTTCCATTCATTGTAGCGTAGTGCATCACAGCACCTGAACTGAATGTCCGACTGAAAAAGATTTGAAAATCATGCATAAGCGTTTGCTACAAAAAACCAAATGATATAGACTTAACATTTAAATCAAATGGCAAAAAATTTTCATAATGTTTGTTTTAAAGTTCATTTTCATATGAATGACGACATGTAAATATGCCTGTCAATAAAACATAAACAGCAGTATCACATGGGAAATCTATCCAGCTTTAATATCGCTACTATAATTGCATTTAAACATTTTATCACATATTTCAATTTCACTTTAGCTGATATCATTTTATAAAATTTAAAATTGAAAGAAAACTGCAGCATTAGCCTAAGTGCTTATAAAAAAATATGCATGATAAATGTAAAGTGCTGCTACTGAGAAATGTCACGTATCACATGAAATAAACAGTTAAAGAAAAAGAGAAAAAAAGTAAATGATGAATATGATATATATATATATATATGCGAGTAAAGATGATGCATAACTTTATATAAATATATATGTAGATAACATAGTTTAAAACAAAGTCTAAATGCATTCAAACATTCATCTAAACGACACGCAAATATTAGCACACACAGTTTGAGACAATAGTGATACTCAACTCATGTCTGTTTAACTATCTTCTCAGACAAGAAATCTATAGTTTTGTGTCTCTCTGAGGTTACAATCCTTTACTAGGTTAGTATTTATAGAAACTGACCACTATAACATAAATTGGTGTGCATGGTTAAATTCTTCAGTAAACTTATGCCAGATATTTGAAATTTTTTTATGTATTTGGCTTCATTTCAAATTATCATGACTTAAGGTTAAGGAAAGATGAGGTTGCAAAAGTCGTCAAAATTTATAAACAGGTTGAACTCTTGCAATTTCTAAGAAGGGTCAAGCTCACTTATTTAAACAGTGAACTGAATTTATTTTCCACTATGATACGACTGTAATTTAAATATGAGCAAATGTTTTAGTCATTTAAAAAGTAACCTTGATTTAGTTTCCATAATGACCTTGAGATAACAGGTTCATTACATATAACAAATATCACACATGATCTTGTCATTATAAGATTATCAATGTGACCTTGACCTTGGAGTAACAGGCTAATTATAAACGATATCACACATGATCATGTCTTTATAAGATTATCTATGTGACCTTGACCTTGACCTTGGAGTAACAGGCTTATTATATATGATATCACACATGATCTTGTCATTATAAGATTATCCATCAATTAATTTTGAGTACCTAAGTCCAAGCAATCCAGGGCACAGTCATTACTAGTGAAATGATTTGTATACAGTTTAACCTAAAGTGCTTCATTTATATCCTATGTTAATGCTTTTATCCAAAGCATAAAATTAAGGCTACTAACGATAAGTTCTTCATTGATGACATAATTCCATTGTTACTAACTATCATTTCCACATAGCTATACCACCAAAAATGTAGGTCACACAGATCTAGTCATAACATATTTCCTGACATATAGGTCACACAGAGCTAATTAAAACACATGTTCCCAACATATATATGTATATGTCACTCAGACCTATAGGCAACACAAAACTAATTATAACACACATTTCCAACATATAGGTCAAACAGATTTAATTATAACACATATTCCCAACATATAGGTCACACAGACTTAATTATAACACACATTCCCAACATATAGGTCAAACAGATTTAATTATAACACATATTCCCAAAATATAGGCAACACAGAACTAATTATAATACATGCTTCCAACATATAGGTCACACAGACTTAATTATAACACACATTCTCAACATAAATCTTACACAAATCAAATTATAACAAATGTTCTGAACTTAAAGGACACACAGATCTAATTATAATATACAGTCCTAACATATAGGTCACACAGACCTAATCATGACACATATTCCCAACATATAGGTCACACAGACTTAATTATAACATATTCCCGACCTAAGGTCACACAGACCTACTTTTAACACATATTCCCAACATATAGGTCACACAGATCTAATTACATCACCTATGTTCAACATATAGGTCACACAGACCTAATTACAGCACATGTATCTAAATCCCTTCTCTTTTTCTTTATCAGATAACATTCATAATGTTCAAGGAAGAGATTGTGCAAATTTAGTTTTTTATCAAAGTGAAAACAGAAATGTTTTGCAAGAATAAAGACTTAAAAAAACAATGAAAATTAGTGAGTGAATGATAAAAACATGTTTTATCAAGTATTTATAGAGTAAGAAATTTCTGATTGTGCAAATATTATTCCTGCCATTTTGTTGGAAACTCCTAATAAACGTTACATAATTTTTGTGAAATTATTATCATTTGTTTACAAATTATCATCATTTGCTTACAAACATATCTACCTTATATTCAAAAAGTATTCAAAATCACAATAACAACCTCCAAGGAACAACACTGCCCACTTCATCAACCTCTGTGTTGGTCTCTTCTGTTGGTCTCTTCAATTTGAAACCTTACCTTAAAATAAGTTTAAGGTTGTGGTACTGTACTGATCATCAGCAGCCTTTCATCAATAAATATTTGTTATAAGTTACCCAGGTGATCAGCCACAGATTTTTGTCAGTCATAGTGTCACCATGCCAACCACTGCATCCCCTAGTCAGTCACCATGTCACAGTCAGCCACTGCATCCCCTAGTCAGTCAGTCACCACGTCACAGTCAGCCACTGCATCTCCCAGTCAGTCACCATGTCACAGTCAGCCACTGCATCCCCCAGTCAGTCACCAAGTCACAGTCAGCCATCACATCACCCAGTCAGTCTCTGAGACATCCAGTCAGCTGTTAAAAATGTAGCTATTATGTCACTCAGTCAGCAACCAAGTCCAGCCATTCAGCCAACAAGTCAGCCACAGCATCACCTAGTCAGTCACTTTCTCAGCCACTGAGTAACTAAGGTAATTGGGCCATTCAGTCAGCCACCATGTCAGCCAGTCAGCCACCAAGTCCAGCCATTCAGCCAACAAGTCAGCCACAGCATCACCTAGTCAGTCACTTTCTCAGCCACTGAGTAACTAAGGTAATTGGGCCATTCAGTCAGCCACCATGTCAGTCAGTCAGCCACCAAGTCCAGCCATTCAGCCACAGCATCACCTAGTCAGTCACTTTCTCAGCCACTGAGTAACTAAGGTAATTGGGCCATTCAGTCAGCCACCATGTCAGCCAGTCAGCCACCAAGTCCAGCCATTCAGCCAACAAGTCAGCCACAGCATCACCTAGTCAGTCACTTTCTCAGCCACTGAGTAACTAAGGTAATTGGGCCATTCAGTCAGCCACCATGTCAGTCAGTCAGCCACCAAGTCCAGCCATTCATCCACAGCATCACCTAGTCAGTCACTTTCTCAGCCACTGAGTAACTAAGGTAACTGGGCCATTCATCAGCCACAATGTCAGTCAGTCAGCCACCAAGTCCAGCCATTCATCCACAGCATCACCTAGTCAGTCACTATCTCAGCCACTGAGTAACTAAGGTAATTGGGCCATTAAGTCAGCCATTGTGTCAGCAACCAAGTCCAGCCATTCAGCCAACAAGTCAGCCACAGCATCACCTAGTCAGTCACTTTCTCAGCCACTGAGTAACTAAGGTAATTGGGCCATTCAGTCAGCCACCATGTCAGCCAGTCAGCCACCAAGTCCAGCCATTCAGCCAACAAGTCAGCCACAGCATCACCTAGTCAGTCACTTTCTCAGCCACTGAGTAACTAAGGTAATTGGGCCATTCAGTCAGCCACCATGTCAGTCAGTCAGCCACCAAGTCCAGCCATTCATCCACAGCATCACCTAGTCAGTCACTATCTCAGCCACTGAGTAACTAAGGTAATTGGGCCATTAAGTTAGCCATTGTGTCAGCAACCAAGTCTAGCCATTCAGCCAACAAGTCACCCAGTCCATGGGCAAGAGTCCCACAAAGAGAGTCAGGCAAACAGCACACATCATGCAAAAGTGTATGTATAGCAACTTTGCAGCACGCCAAAAATCCAAAATTTGGAAAGAAATTCAAGAAGGAAAAAAAACAGCTAAATTTTGAGAAAAAAAACGAAGAGAAGAATTTGGTTTGATGTAGCCTACTTTTTTTCACTTGGATTATCTCCCTTTCCCCACAACAGATCGGCCACTTGCCTAATGGAAGCGACCGGTTTAAGGCAATGCTGCATTTTAGCCATAACAAGGTCAGCGATTTGTCGTCTATCTTCCTCCTGGCTCTCTCCCAGTAGTGTCATAGAGGAATCATTCACCTGTAATGAGTAATAGGCTAACAATGAAATGTGACATTTTAAAGGCGAATCAATTGGCAGAATTAATCTGGAAAATGTAATGTGTACTGAGGATTATAAAACTACTACTTGATAGCAGAATATTCAGAATTTTTTTCTGTGTGTGACCTGTGTATACCTCCCTCCAAACTTCAACATCAAAACTAAGCAACATCTTCCTACTCTGTATAGCAGGGTATTATATTTCTGTACATAAAAACTGACATGAAAGCAGAATATCATTATTTACAAGGCAGGTTATTATGAAAGAGAAACACAGCACAAAGGGGTGTAACTCTGTATACCGCGAGGTATGAAAGCAAACATATTCCTTCATCCATAAGAATAGAAATAATCCGAGATACAGGGAAAATGATACAATGACCACTGGAGTTCCCTGTGTTAGTATTGGTAGGGACTGGCAATAGAAACCTACAGTTCTCTATGATAGATTTGGTAGGGACTGACAACACAAACCTACCCCTCCCTATGATAGTATTGGTAGGGACTGACAACACAAACCTACAGTTCTCTATGATAGTATTGGTAGGGACTGACAACACAAACCTACAGTTCTCTATGATAGTATTGGTAGGGACTGACAACACAAACCTACAGTTCTCTATGATAGTATTGGTAGGGACTTACAACACAAACCTACCCCTCCCTATGATAGTATTGGTAGGGACTGACAACACAAACCTACCCCTCCCTATGATAGTATTGGTAGGGACTGACAACACACACCTACAGTTCCCTATGATAGTATTGGTAGGGACTTACAACACAAACCTACAGTTCTCTATGATAGTATTGGTAGGGACTTAAAACACAAACCTACCCCTCCCTATGATAGTATTGGTAGGGACTGACAACACAAACCTACCCCTCCCTATGATAGTATTGGTAGGGACTGACAACACAAACCTACCCCTCCCTATGATAGTATTGGTAGGGACTGACAACACAAACCTACAGTTTCCTATGATAGTATTGGTAGGGACTGAAAACACAAACCTACCCCTCCCTATGATAGTATTGGTAGGGACTGACAACACCCACCTACCCCTTCCTATGATAGTATTGGTAGGGACTGACAACACACACACACCTAGTATTGGTAGGGACAACACACACCTACCCACTGACATTGGTACACTACCCCTCCCTATGATAGTATTGGTAGGGACTGACAACACACACCTACAGTTCTCTATGATAGTACTGGTAGGGACTGAAAACACAAACCTACCCCTCCCTATGATAGTATTGGTAGGGACTGACAACACAAACCTACCCCTCCCTATGATAGTATTGGTAGGGACTGACAACACAAACCTACCCCTCCCTATGATAGTATTGGTAGGGACTGACAACACAAACCTAATCCTCCCTATGATAGTATTGGTAGGGACTGACAACACACACCTAATCCTCCCTATGATAGTATTGGTAGGGACTGACAACACAAACCTACCCCTCCCTATGATAGTATTGGTAGGGACTGACAACACGAACCTACCCCTCCCTATGATAGTATTGGTAGGGACTGACAACACAAACCTACCCCTCCCTATGATAGTATTGGTAGGGACTGACAACACAAACCTACCCCTCCCTATGATAGTATTGGTAGGGACTGACAACACAAACCTACCCCTCCCTATGATAGTATTGGTAGGGACTGACAACACAAACCTACCCCTCCCTATGATAGTATTGGTAGGGACTGACAACACAAACCTACCCCTCCCTATGATAGTATTGGTAGGGACTGACAACACAAACCTACAGTTCCCTATGATAGTATTGGTAGGGACTGACAACACACACCTAATCCTCCCTATGATAGTATTGGTAGGGACTGACAACACACACCTACAGTTCCCTATGATAGTATTGGTAGGGACTTACAGCACAAACCTACCCCTTCCTATGATAGTATTGGTAGGGACTGACAACACTAACCTACCCCTCCCTATGATAGTATTGGTAGGGACTGACAACACAAACCTACCCCTCCCTATGATAGTATTGGTAGGGACTGACAACACAAACCTACCCCTCCCTATGATAGTATTGGTAGGGACTGACAACACAAACCTACCCCTCCCTATGATAGTATTGGTAGGGACTGACAACACAAACCTACCCCTCAAAACCTACCCCTCCCTATGATAGTATTGGTAGGGACTGACAACACACACCTACCCCTCCCTATGATAGTATTGGTAGGGACTGACAACACAAACCTACCCCTCCCTATGATAGTATTGGTAGGGACTGACAACACAAACCTACCCCTCCCTATGATAGTATTGGTAGGGACTGACAACACAAACCTACCCCTCCCTATGATAGTATTGGTAGGGACTGACAACACAAACCTACCCCTCCCTATGATAGTATTGGTAGGGACTGACAACACAAACCTACCCCTCCCTATGATAGTATTGGTAGGGACTGACAACACACACCTACCCATCCCTATGATAGTATTGGTAGGGACTGACAACACAAACCTACCCCTCCCTATGATAGTATTGGTAGGGACTGACAACACAAACCTACCGTTCCCTATGATAGTACTGGTAGGGACTGACATCACAAACATAAGCTCCCAGTTAACTACTTGCTGGCAATTTAATAAAGACCATAAAAATTTACTGACAATTTGTTTGAGTCTTTTCCAAATGACCTCGGACATTAAATTCAACTATAGGTTGATGTAGGGAAAATCTCTGTATACTGAAAAATTTTAAAATTTGGTGAACCTAATATTTTCCAGGTTCAGTTTTGACCAGTGTATAGTTACACATGCCTGTCTCATCACTTGTTGTCCCTATATGTAGTGTAACAGTTTATTCCATGACTTTTCACAGATAAAATGTATGCTAAGTATATATTTTTGTGCTATGTTAACAGACCTCGAATATAGTGTAATCAATTTCTTAGTGAACTTTACCAAAGCGTACCGTATCTGCTGTGGAACACTAGCCATGTTAATTCTTCGAGGTATGCATGTAATTTTTCACAATTTCTAGGTCTATTTGAAATGTTAAGATAACAGAATGGAATGTTTTTTCTCACTGAACCTGAAATGCTTCAGAAATACAAAACAAGATAACACATTGTTCTATGGAGTGCATTAGTGAACATATATAGTATAAACCTTTGGCTGCGTGCTGTTATATGCACTTTTATTAGATATGGCAATCAACATTTCCAAGCATCAGTACGTCACTGTTTCTTTAAACAATATAAAATATATCTTGGTGAGTTGAAATATTCCTCTCATGTCCAGATAAAAATTTGACTTAAGGAATCTTTGACACTGCAGATTCATGGAGTTATTGAAAATCTTGGTTACCCAGCGAATTTAGAGAAACATTTCATATAAAAGCTTCTTACACATGTAATTTTGTGAAACTTCAGCAAACTGCTTGATGGTCTGTCAAAAATTTGAGGCTTCGATTTATGTTACTTAAATTGCTTAATGAAGTGAAGCTGATATCTTTGAACTTTAGATTTTCTTTAAAACTTTTAAACTTTGGTGAAATATATTAAGATGCTGAAAGCAACTGATGGTAAGTGACCTTAGCTTTAGGCTTTGACCTTCAGCTTGGTCCATAGCCATGAGGGGAGGCATCCCAAAACAACCAATGGCCCAAGACAAATGTCAATTACGACACCACGTGGTAATCAAGATAGCAAAACTCAAAAAGAGAAACTTGAGAGAAGAAGCTATGGATTCTACACGTAACTTTCCCAAGCTTGTACAATCAAGATTTTATCAAAGGTAAAATAAATCATTAAGATAGATGGGGTCAGGTAAGAGCTTTACCTGCTGTTTTTATTGTTGTTAAAGAATGCTTCAAATGCATTGGCATGGCATTTTGTCAAAGATTGTTCCTTGCAGATCCAAATAATATACTCTGGAATATTCACATCTCAGTGTTCTAGAGTCTACCTGTACCTACGTCAATGATATACCCCTGGCTGTTCACACTTCAGTGAACTAGAATCTACCTATACCTACGTCAATGATATACCCCTGGCTGTTCACACTTCAGTGATCTATAGTCTACCTGTACCTACGTCAATGATATACCCCTGGCTGTTCACACTTCAGTGAACTAGAATCTACCTATACCTACGTCAATGATATACCCCTGGCTGTTCACACTTCAGTGATCTATAGTCTACCTGTACCTACGTCAATGATATACTCCTGACTGTTCACATCTCAGTGTTCTAGAGTCTACCTGTACCTACGTCAATGATATACCCCTGGCTGTTCACACTTCAGTGATCTATAGTCTACCTGTACCTACGTCAATGATATACCCCTGGCTGTTCACACTTCAGTGATCTATAGTCTACCTGTACCTACGTCAATGATATACCCCTGGCTGTTCACACTTCAGTGATCTATAGTCTACCTGTACCTACATCAATGATATACCCCTGCCTGTTCACATCTATAGTCTACCTGTACCTACGTCAATGATATACCCTGACTGTTCACACTTCATTGAACTAGAATCTACCTGTACCTACGTCAATGATATACCCTGACTGTTCACACTTCATTGAACTAGAATCTACCTGTACCTACGTCAATGATATACCCCTGACTGTTCACACCTGTCATTGAACTAGAATCTACCTGTACCTACGTCAATGATATACCCTGACTGTTCACACTCATTGAACTAGAATCTACCTGTACCTACGTCAATGATATACCCCTGACTGTTCACACCTCATTGAACTAGAATCTACCTGTACCTACGTCAATGATATACCCCTGACTGTTCACACCTCATTGAACTAGAATCTACCTGTACCTACGTCACACTTCAGTGATCTATAGTCTATGATATACTACCTGTACCTGTCAATGATATACACCTGACTGTTCACACCTCATTGAACTAGAATCTACCTGTACCTACGTCAATGATATACCCTGACTGTTCACACCTCATTGAACTAGAATCTACCTGTACCTACGTCAATGATATACCCCTGACTGTTCACACCTCATTGAACTAGAACCTGTCTACCAATGATACCTACTGTTCACACCTCATTGAACTGATCTACCTGTACCTACGTCAATGATATACACCTGACTGTTCACACCTCATTGAACTAGAATCTACCTGTACCTACGTCAATGATATACACCTGACTGTTCACACCTCATTGAACTAGAATCTACCTGTACCTACGTCAATGATATACTGTTCACACCTTCCTGACTGTTCACACTCTACCTGTACCTACGTCAATGATATAGCTGTTCACACTCAGTGATCTATATCTACCAGTACCTACATCAATGATATACACCTGACTGTTCACACCTCATTGAACTAGAATCTACCTGTACCTACGCCAGTGATATACTCCTGAATGGTCACACCTCATTGAACTAGAATCTACCTGTACATACGTCAATGATATACACCTGACTGTTCACACCTCATTGAACTAGAATCTACCTGTACCTACGTCAAGGTTCTAGAGTCTACCTGTACCTACGTCAATGATATACTCCTGACTGTTCACACCTCATTGAACTAGAATCTACCTGTACCTACGTCAATGATATACACCTGACTGTTCACACCTCATTGAACTAGAATCTACCTGTACCTACGTCAATGATATACACCTGACTGTTCACACCTCATTGAACTAGAATCTACCTGTACCTACGTCAATGATATACCCCTGACTGTTCACACCTCATTGAACTAGAATCTACCTGTACCTACGTCAATGATATACCCCTGGCTGTTCACACTTCAGTGATCTATAGTCTACCTGTACCTACGTCAATGATATACTCCTGACTGTTCACACCTCATTGAACTAGAATCTACCTGTACCTACGTCAATGATATACCCCTGACTGTTCACACCTCATTGAACTAGAATCTACCTGTACCTACGTCAATGATATACCCCTGACTGTTCACACCTCATTGAACTAGAATCTACCTGTACCTACGTCAATGATATACCCCTGGCTGTTCACACTTCAGTGATCTATAGTCTACCTGTACCTACATCAATGATATACCCCTGGCTGTTCACACTTCAGTGATCTATAGTCTACCTGTACCTACGTCAATGATATACCCCTGCCTGTTCACACTTCATTGAACTAGAATCTACCTGTACCTACGTCAATGATATACTCCTGACTGTTCACACCTCATTGAACTAGAATCTACCTGTACCTACGTCAATGATATACCCCTGACTGTTCACACCTCATTGAACTAGAATCTACCTGTACCTACGTCAATGATATACCCCTGACTGTTCACACCTCATTGAACTAGAATCTACCTGTACCTACGTCAATGATATACCCCTGGCTGTTCACACTTCAGTGATCTAGAATCTATATGATATACCCCTGGCTGTTCACACTTCAGTGATCTATAGTCTACCTGTACCTACGTCAATGATATACCCCTGCCTGTTCACACTTCATTGAACTAGAATCTACCTGTACCTACGTCAATGATATACTCCTGACTGTTCACACCTCATTGAACTAGAATCTACCTGTACCTACGTCAATGATATACCCCTGGCTGTTCACACTTCAGTGATCTATAGTCTACCTGTACCTACGTCAATGATATACCCCTGGCTGTTCACACTTCAGTGATCTATAGTCTACCTGTACCTACGTCAATGATATACACCTGACTGTTCACACCTCATTGAACTAGAATCTACCTGTACCTACATCAATGATATACTCCTGACTGTTCACACCTCATTGAACTAGAATCTACCTACACTACTCCAATGATATATCCCTGACTGTTCACACCTCATTGAACTAGAATCTACCTGTACCTACGTCAATGATATACACCTGACTGTTCACACCTCATTGAACTAGAATCTACCTGTACCTACGTCAATGATATACACCTGACTGTTCACACCTCATTGAACTAGAATCTACCTGTACCTACATCAATGATATACCCCTGGCTGTTCACACTTCAGTGATCTATAGTCTACCTGTACCTACGTCAATGATATACTCCTGACTGTTCACACCTCATTGAACTAGAATCTACCTGTACCTACATCAATGATATACCCCTGGCTGTTCACACTTCAGTGATCTATAGTCTACCTGTACCTACGTCAATGATATACTCCTGACTGTTCACACCTCATTGAACTAGAATCTACCTGTACCTACGTCAATGATATACCCCTGGCTGTTCACACTTCAGTGATCTATAGTCTACCTGTACCTACGTCAATGATATACTCCTGACTGTTCACACCTCATTGAACTAGAATCTACCTGTACCTACGTCAATGATATACACCTGACTGTTCACACCTCATTGAACTAGAATCTACCTGTACCTACGTCAATGATATACTCCTGACTGTTCACACCTCATTGAACTAGAATCTACCTGTACCTACGTCAATGATATACACCTGACTGTTCACACCTCATTGAACTAGAATCTACCTGTACCTACGCCAATGTTATACTCCTGAATGGTCACACCTCATTGAACTAGAATCTACCTATACTACTCCAATGATATACCCCTGCCTGTTCACACTTCATTGAACTAGAATCTACCAGTACCTACATCAATGATATACACCTGACTGTTCACATCTCATTGAACTAGAATCTACCTGTACCTATGCCAGTGATATAATTCCTGAATGGTCACACCTCATTGAACTAGAATCTACCTGTACCTAGCTCTATGATATACCCCTGGCTGTTCACACTTCAGTGATCTATAATCTACCTGTACCTAGCTCTATGATATATTCCATGCTGTTCACACTTCAGTGATCTATAGTCTACCTGTACCTACCTCTATGATATACCCCTGGCTGTTCACACTTCAGTGATCTTATAGTCTACCTGTACCTACCTCTATGATATACCCCTGGCTGTTCACACTTCAGTGATCTATAGTCTACCCGTACCTGCCTCTATGATAAACCCTTGGCTGTTCACACTTCAGTGATCTATAGTCTACCTGTACCTACATCTATGATAAACTCCATGCTGTTCACACTTCAGTGATCTATAGTCTCCCTGTACCTACATCTATGTATACTCCTGGCTGTTCATGCCTGATTAATCGAAAGTCTACTTTAACCTACCTCAATGATGTACTCTTTTCCATCTTTGCCCTGAACAGCTTCCACAGCGAGGACATCCAGTCCACCAAACATGAGACTGCATTCATCCACCCATAACTTGAATCTGTAATAAAAGCACTCTTAGTGACATTAAATGAAATATAACTGGACTGAATTACTTTGAACTGAAGGACAGATACTACATGGCTTCAATTCCAACAGAGTTTGTGAATTATCTAGTCAAGATACAGTATTTTATTGTCCGAGAACATTTATGAAAACAGAGAAGATACAGAGCAACTTCAATTCAATGTTGTTTACTTGAAGACGAGACTTTAATATAGCATTGATAAGTTTCTAAACTATAAAATGGTTCCTAGTATTCTCAGTAGTAGTAGTACTGTGACAAACCATATCATTTGTAGGTGTTATCAATCAAGGGAGAGCTCACCTGTCATTCATTGCGATTTGTTCTAACATTGCCGATCCTGTGTTTGCTTTCCAATTTCCGGATATAGATTTCCTCCTGAAATAGGCATACATAAATATATGAAAAAAGGCCACATTCCTGTCATCAAATAAATCAAATACCTTAAATATTATTTTTTAAACACTTGGTTTATATTGAAACAGTGAAATTTGAAATTTACGTCAATAAACTTTTTTCTCTACCAGTATTTGGTGCATGTCCTGCTGTTTATTCTAACTTATATTTCAAAATCTTATGATTGCATTTCAAATGTTTGAAGCACTTAAAAATTCATTTCTCTTTGCTGAAATATTTACATTACTTTTATGATATACAAAAAGAAAATTAAAATGTGAAAACTAAACCTGGTTTCATTTTGTTATCTGAAACAAAATTTGAGCTTTCGAATTTATTGAACATTTACTACACCTCTCTCTGCACATTATCAATCCACAAACACACAGTATATAACAAGAGAAAGGTAACACATCAAGAAAAACATCAAAATGTAATAAAACAATCAACACATAAAAGTTAAAATCATATTTGTGATCTAGCGGCAATGAGCACAGAAGCAAACGTAAAAAGAAAAGGGTGAAAAAGTTAATCATATGGAACAGATTACAATTTACATCCACAGTTTATCTGCCAATAAACCCATGTCTGGTAATAAGCCCAAAATTGTACATGGCTTTTAAGTACAATCAGGACTAACTAATTATATTTCAGTAATACACCACCTGACTTCCAGTATCACTAACAAATGTTATTGGCCTGTGATAAGCCGACCCCCTCACTTTCAATTTTACTAACCTTTTTATTCCATTCCCTGACTTCCAGTTTCAATCACCAATGTTAATGCATTGTCCTGTATTAAGCCTACCCCTGATTTCAAGTCAGAGGTTATGTGTGGACCTCCTTGACTCATTGTCCTAAACTTCGCTCACCCCCTGATTTTGTGATACAGGTTATGTGCTGGCTTCCTTGGTTTATTGTCCTTTAATAAGCCCACCCCCTCACTTTGTGTCAGAACTTATATGCTGTTCCCTGACTCCTTGTCCTGTAATAAGCTTGCCCCAAACTATGTGTCAGAGGTTATGAGCTTGCCTCTTCAGCTTATCACACAGCAATAAGCCTGACTTCTTACTTTGTGAATAGGTTATGCATTCGCCACCTGGGCTTCTTACAGGTTGGGTATGATAGGAAAGACCATTCCTTAAGTGATGAAAACAGTAAGATGATCAATGACAGCTTTTACAATTTCAAACACTGCAGTCAATCATTCAGAGAGAGGTGGAATTTGACTTGTATGTAAACTGGTATCAGAAATTCAACAAAAAAACTAAGATCTTTATTGGCAGATGTTTCACTGCATGCCAATGAAATTGGTTTTCTCATAAAAAAATACTCTCGATGTACATGGAATTAATTAAGTTCGACAATCATAAAAAAACCTTTCTTTTTCTAGTGTCTATATTTCATCTGAATCTTTTTTATTTCAGAAATATAAATCAATATGGACAGACATACCAGAGATTATTGCTCTCAACTATTTAAAAAATTTATTTTACCGAAACGATTTCCCTTATAAATCATTTCTCAAACATTCAAAATATTCCAATGATCTCAAAATGTTTACTGAACAAACAATTAGGAGAAGGTTTTCAGTTAAGATCTGAAGATTGGGACTTGTGCAGGAATTTTCTGAAAATGCACCTGTAAATTAAAAGTGTTACACTGACTATCAACAATCTTAATCCATTTTATTGTACTGATTGTAGGAGAAATTATTATTATTATTTTTTATATTTATAATGATTTAACTTATCCTATCTATTTCATTTGAAAGCTTTACCAAAAAATAGGATTTTGGAAGCATTAAAGACCATCGTGTTTTACTTCTCTTTACCGTAACAGGGAAATGTTCGCTCACGCACTGCAGCAGTACAGAAAATATGCACTGAGAACTCTCCAGTGTAGAGGTAATTGGGAACTCTCTAACATTGAAAAGAACATCGCTTCAATATCCTGTGTGCATTAACAGTCTTTATGGGAACTCGAAAACTTTGGAAATTCTTCAAATGTTTAATTTCAGATAAGATAAAGACGTCTTTAATATCCAATGTGTTCCTGCCTAGATTACACCATCAGCCTAAACAAGACGTAATTTTAGGTAAACAGGTAATCTGTAATTCAAGACTTCTGCCAATGAACAGTTCTGTACCAAATGTTTGAAAATACGAAGATGATGGACCAGGTTGAGAGAAGGGGGCTGTGACCCTGATCTTTCACTACAAATGTACTTAAATAAAGATCCGATTCATCCCTGAATCTACACTCCCTTTTCTCCTTCACAATAAATTCTTCAAAAAATCTGATGACACTGAGAAAATACCCTTTGACATAAGAAAACAAGTATTAGCTATATAAATTGTAATTTTGTTTCTTAATATTCAAATTAACTAAACATGCCGAATTTGATTTTATTAATTTACTTGTTTTTTTTTGGGGGGGGCTACTTTCACTTTCAAGAGGACTGTATGTTATGCAAGCCAATAACTGGATGGGTGTGTTCCGAAATAAAGTTCTACAGTGTTGCTGAACCAGAAAGTTTCATTATACAAGGCAATGGCTGCCCTGAGTCGTACTAAAATGACCTACATGTCTAGCGTAAGTTCTCAATTATTAGCCAGCATAAAGACAATATGTCAATTAGATTTATTTTTATAATTTAGCATCATACTTTCTTCCATTACTAATCAAATTATATTATTCCATTGCTACCATCCACTAAAAGCTGTTACTGATTATATGTGCTGATAATGATAATTTGACTTATGGAAGCCCAACAAGAACCATAACTTTACCTAAATAATGCAAATATGAATTGCTATATAACATATGTACTTTTCTGTTAATGGAAAAAAAAATTCTCCTGGAAATTCATTGTCTTTTTGTCAATTACTTGTATAGGAAATACAACATATCCTGTATATAAGCTGGAACACAATCAATGGAGGTGTCATTTCAGACACTCCATTTTGAGGTATTTGATTTCACTCATCCGTTTAATTCAATTTCATCCTTTAAGAGCCGGAAATGCCTCAAATTTCCTCAACATTATCTCCTGGCCTGCTTTCTCTTTTCCTGTGGAATGACATCTTACATTTTGGAAACTTTCAATCAATTCTACATTTTTTTTCCTCGGCAATATCTTTAAAAGTATTGTATTTGAAAATGTGTGTTTCAAAGATATTTCATGAACAAGACAGAAGATATTTTTCTTGTGTTTTTTACTGTACTAATACTAATGAAATTTTATCACAAAGTTATAAAAAATTGCATCATTAAAAAATAAAACCAACCAAATAATGAAGATTTGAAATCTGTAAGCATGTCCATATAACCTCAGTGTCTCACTTTCTCAGCTAGCCCATATAACCTCAGTGTCTCACTATCTCAGCTTGCCCATATAACCTCAGTGTCTCACTATCTCAGCTTGCCCATATAACCTCAGTGTCTCACTATCTCAGCTTGCCCATATAACCTCAGTGTCTCACTATCTCGGCTAGCCCATATAACCTCAGTGTCTCACTATCTCAGCTTGCCCATATAACCTCAGTGTCTCACTATCTCAGCTTGCCCATATAACCTCAGTGTCTCACTATCTCAGCTTGCCCATATAACCTCAGTGTCTCACTATCTCAGCTTGCCCATATAACCTCAGTGTCTCACTATCTCAGCTTGCCCATATAACCTCAGTGTCTCACTATCTCAGCTTGCCCATATAACCTCAGTGTCTCACTATCTCGGCTAGCCCATATAACCTCAGTGTCTCACTATCTCAGCTAGCCCATATAACCTCAGTGTCTCACTATCTCAGCTTGCCCATTTAATCTCCATGTCTTACTATCTAAGCTTGCCCATATAACCTCAGTGTCTCACTATCTCGGCTAGCCCATATAACCTCAGTGTCTCACTATCTCGGCTAGCCCATATAACCTCAGTGTCTCACTATCTCAGCTTGCCCATATAACCTCAGTGTCTCACTATCTCAGCTTGCCCATATAACCTCAATGTCCTCCTATCTCAGCTTTCCCATATAACCTCAGTGTCTCACTATCTCAGCTTGCCCATTTAATCTCCATGTCTTACTATCTAAGCTTGCCCATATAACCTCAGTGTCTCACTATCTCAGCTAGCCCATATAACCTCAGTGTCTCACTATCTCAGCTTGCCCATTTAATCTCCATGTCTTACTATCTAAGCTTGCCCATATAACCTCAGTGTCTCACTATCTCAGCTTGCCCATTTAATCTCCATGTCTTACTATCTAAGCTTGCCCATATAACCTCAGTGTCTCACTATCTCAGCTTGCCCATTTAATCTCCATGTCTTACTATCTCTGCTAGCCGCCCATATAACCTCAGTGTCTCACTATCTCAGCTTGCCCATTTAATCTCCATGTCTTACTATCTCTGCTAGCCGCCCATATAACCTCAGTGTCTCACTATCTCAGCTTGCCCATAAAACCTCAGTGTCTCACTATCTCAGCTTGCCCATTTAATTTCCATGCCTTACTATCTCTGCTAGCTGCTCATATAACCTCAGTGTCTTGCTATCTCAGCTTGCCCATATAACCTCAGTGTCTCACTTTCTCAGCTTGCCCATATAACCCCTATGTCTTACGATCTCAGCTTTCCCATATAACCTCAATGTCTCACTATCTGAGCTTGCCCATATAACCTCAGTGTCTCACTATCTCAGCTTGCCCATATAACCTCAATGTCTCACTATCTCAGCCTGTCCATATAACCTCAATGTCTTCCTATCTCAGCTTGCCCATATAACCTCAATGTCCTCCTATCTCAGCTTGCCCATATAACCTCAATGTCTCACTATCTCAGCTTGCCCATATAACCTCTATGTCTTACGATCTCGATTTTGAAGAATGTATATCAACTGCAGTACATAATTGTTTTAAGGGGAGGTAATCCTGGAATATGTACTCTACTTACTTGCAGGTAAGGTGATTCTGTAGTTCATATACCGTATGT